AACTGCCTGCGCTTGGCAGCCGTCAGCTCCCCGTGCATTACCTTGATTGCCACCTGAGTTCCTCCCAGCGAACCCCAGTACACTTCCCCGAACGCTCCCTTGTCGCCAATAAGATAACTCTGATCGAAACCATTCGTGCAGAATCGGAGATCGGTGAGCGCGAAAGCTCTGACAACGGCCGGGTTAAGCGGGACGGTGTCGGTGGTCAGCATCAATGACGGGATGTGGGTGGTAGATTGAGTGACTGGTATCGCCTCCGGTGGTCGGTTACTGCGCCTGCAGTAAACGATCGCGACTCCGACGATGAGGAGGACGGCCAAGCCGCACACAACGGGAACCACGATGAGGGCGGGAGACAGATTGTCCTCCTTTCGCAATTTCGAACTGTTCGAGCCTTGCGCTGCTGGAGGGCTACTAGAAGAGGGAGGGGAGGGGGGGAGTGGGAAGCTTTGGGAACTATTCGGAGGCGGTACGGGGGAAGGGAGTGGACTGCTCGAGGGGGGAGACGGTATCGGCCCCTCACTACCACATGAATGTAACGCAGCCCTGTTAATCTCCAGCTTGTATACTTGCCCGTCCATTGTACCTAGGTATAGGAGCGGATTGCTTGTCCCRTTATCGAAGAGCGCCAAGCTCCGGAAGCTTGTAGGCTCAGCCTTCGCAACAGATGTCACTTCCAGAGCTGTAGAGCAGGGCGAGCTGAGTTTTATCCAGCGAACCGTATCGTCATCCGCAACGAACACGTTGCACCCGTCTCGAGTTACTACCGGATGCGACAGAGACTCGAACGACGCGCTCAAACCGAGACCATCTTCCATGTTTTCCGTTCCTGACCCCGCCACATGCGTGACGCTTCTAGACACTGGCGATTTCGACGGTGATGATGTTCTTGATGATGGAGATGTCAAGTCCAGGCTCCAAACCGTGAGATTGGTGGAGTCGCTGAAGTACAGACACCTCCCTTGTGAGTCCAAGCTTTGCCCCGCGAACTTCGTCCCTGTTATGTTGGGCGTCCCGCCTTCGGGGAAATTGGCCTCCGGTGCGAAAACAGTCGTGCTACTCATGGGAATACCATCAGCTCCAGGTAACATGGGCGCAGAGAGAATGCGATAAGGCGCAGCGGTGTCGGCGATATACAGACGCTCATTTGCAAGCCGATTGAACGCGAGACTTCCTGGCGAGTCCACGTCGGACACCTCGATTGCCGTCCTATCTCCGCTGGCGACATCGATGAAAACTATCATTCTCTTGCCGACGCCGATTACCTCCGGAAAGAGGGCCAGGTGCGTATCAGACTTAGAAACATCCATGCTGGAATAAAACTTCATCATCGGATTGATCCGACCAGAGCCCAACGGATTCTCAAACACAAAGGCGGTCATATTCGCTCTCCCGCTTGGATTCGCAGCCGGCCACCAGTAACTAAGCAAACGTCCACCTCTCTCCAGCGCCGTAGCCGTACCCGATTCGGCTTCTCTAATAGAGTAGCGGAGCTTGGTGATTTCGTCAAGTTTGATGTCCACGCATCGTTCCCACAGCCTGTAGTAGAGCACAGTGCCGTTGCGAGAGAGGGTGACGTCCTGGATTGTCGCCCCGCATACCTCAGAACCGTTCAAAAAAGTTTTGAAAGGACTCTCTCCCGGGAACTTCACGACGCTGGTACCATCAGCCACTAAGCTAGGATCAATGGCAGATATACTGGATGTACCGTAGAACCCCTGCAGTAATCGCCCTTCTAACGCCTCACGAACTCGGAGAAAACGGCGAAGACGATGATGACGATGCTCATCCTCCTCAGCGCTCCGCGCGGACCGGAATGCCGTCGCTACGTTCTCATTTTCCGATTTCGATGCTGCTCGTCCTCCCGCTTCTCCGCCTCTAGCACCTCCTCCCACTAGTACTTCTCCCCTATCGTCGTCGCCGCCGCCGCCGCCGCCACCACCCTGCCCCGCATATTGCAAACTGAAGAAACATGGCAACAGCAGCAAGAGAAAGGCGGCAAGGAGCGAGGGTGATCGCCACATTACGAAGACGAGATTTCGGATTCCCGTGACCCCTGAATTTGCGCGGACCGTGTCCCCACGCTCTTCCCGCCAAACTTGCACGAATCGTTTCCCCACGCTCTCCCCGCCAAATTTGCGCCACCGGTCTTCTTAACTGATCTAATTACTTCTGCCCTCGCACGCAATCATCGTGATCTCCATTGATGGCCAATTTACACACGACAATCTATCCAATAAACACAAAAAAAACAAAAAGAGAAAGACAATCTATGCAATCCACGAGACACTCCCTTCGCGGAGAGATCTCGATAAGATACTATTAACCTCCACGCACAGGACCAGAAGAGCTCGGGGAGGGGAGCTTTCTATGGTGGCGCGCCGTGAATTCCCGCGCGCCTTTTCAAACTCCGCGCACAGCGGTTGCTCCTGGTGTTTCCGCGGCTATGGATACTCGTCCTTCCCGTCTGCTCTCTCCGACTTCTCCTTCTGGAACACTTTCCTCTGCTGTGCGAAACCCAGCCGAACAGACACAAAGGAAAGGATCAACAGGGCAGCGGGAAAGGCGAGTTCTCAGGAGATGGAGGAGGATGGTGCAAGTCAATTCCGTCCTAAATACCGCTGATCATCACCGGCAGTGTGAGGAGACTCAGAGGAGCCAAGCAGACGAAAAATGAACAGGGCAGGGCTAAAGGCGCGGTTAATTCGCTGTGAGCAGAAAACATTTTTGTCCAGACAGAGAGCTGTGCCGTCGGCGAGAGTTGCGCGGCCCATCCCCCTCCGCTGCTTCCCCGTATGTTCAAAGCCCGCGTAACGCACATGACCATAACCAAGGTCGATGGAGATTCGTTGCAGAAGTCCGAACCTGAGACTACACGATGCGAAGGAAAAACGAAAACAAAAAAAAAGGACGTGATTTTGAATTCATCACCTGCGCGCCTTTTGAAATATCAGAGGTAACATCATCTTACCTGACACTGACCCCTATAGATTCTAGGCGCGATTGATGGATGAGTTAACTACTAACTCCTTACCCTCTGTTCTAAGAACATATTTGTCCTAATACAGAATGTTCACGCCCACCTTAGTTCGTTCAACAGCAATCACTCATCATCCGGCATGACTAAATGCCCACACCAACGCTAACAAATAGTAATTGCTTTCTCCACACCAAAGACATGATGGGGAAGCAAGCTTACCAGAAAACATGGGTAAGCTTGCGAAATCGCGTACAGGGTCACAGACCGCGCCCGAGAAACTGCATCTTACTCCTGATCTCTCTTTTGCTCGCCTCTCCCCTTCGCACACCCTCAGAGCATACTCGCACTAAGACTTTTCTCGATGTATATATATGACCCCTTTTTCGACCCCTTCTGGATGCACCTGACCGCGATTTCATCCACAGAGAAGTGGAAAAACTCGTAGTGTAATTACGCCCGCAGATAGAGTAAGCATCCAAGCTTCTTCCGTCTTAAACTCTTCCACGTTGAAAATGCATCTGACCACGCGCGTTCGATAAGACTTCCCGGGGAAAAAAGCGATTCGCGCTCACTCATTCTCCATTCACCCGTCTCCTCCGTGAGATGGCGATCACACACAGATCCGACCAATCGGCCATCGCGAAAATCACGAAAACTCCCCGCCATTGCGCGCTGACGAAAACTAGAAAAAGCGGCAGTGTTACTGGGGCAGTCCCACTCACACCAATACTGTCATTTCTCCCAATCGATCATTAAGATCGACGGCCTGGAACGAAGAATCCACGCAAATGGGACCTGACAGCAGGGACAACTTTTGAAGTCCCCCTCGCCAGGTTGTCAGTTGGTTGGTACACCGATAAACTTCTGAAATGTAGACGTGAGTTCGAATTCAGACGCAACAAGATGCTCTGGGTTCAGTGCCCGTTGGCAGACGCAGTCTGGCAATGGTGATCAAGGCTATGATCAGAACCAACACAAGATACCTTCCCGTGGACTGACGACTGGGTGCTATACTGTTCACTCCCTACCACAAACTCTACGCTTTCTGAGGGCTGGGGTTACGAAGCTCTGGCCTGCAAAGTTGCTATCATGAAGGTAATCTGGAAAGCTCGAAAGTCTGTGGTCTTCGAGAACGAAATAATCAGCATTAACCAGCAGTTACACCAGATTAAGGACAGTATTCGCCTGCCTGCTAATTCTGGTGGACTGGCAACTATGTTTGAACCGTCACAGGGTAAAGGAAGATCCTGGTTTGCCAGAACCTGGGCCACAGAGAAAAAGTTGGCACACGTTTTCACAGAAGTAAAAATTGTAGTCAATTCCTGGTGGAAACCTCGGTAAAGAGACAGTCCGCAGTGGAAACCTCGGTCATGAGAACGTGCCATTATAGGACTGGCGTAGTAGGATTGTCCAGGATGACGGGCTTGTATTATAGGACTGGCGTAGTAGGATTGTCCAGGATGATGGGCTTGTATTATAGGACTGGCGTAGTAGGATTGTCCAGGAGTAGAGAGGAAGTCGGTATGATGGGCCAGTATTCTCAGTGTCTCAGGGGAACCAATAGAACTGAGTTTAATATCTGAATCAGTGTAAAGTAAGACAAGGGACCAAGCTTTTCCTTTTACGATTGTGGAATTGAGCCCGGAAAGAAGAAGAAGAAGAAGAAGAAGGTGTTGCTCCCCACCAATAGATGGAGCTTGTGTTAAAAAAAAAAAAAAAAAAAAAAAAAAACAGAACACGGAAAGAAGGGAAGGGAGAAAGAATTTTCTTACCGTCTTACATAATGCTCTATGAGCTACGGCTTGGAGAGCCCCTTTATTTTTCATGCGCTTCAAAGTGTAATCTTGGGAAGTTTTTCTAGCATGGGACGCTGGACCCGGTTTCCAGCTCGCTCAAGACAAGGTCAAATCAGTGAGTTGGAATCGAGCTCTGCTCGTAACCTAAACTGGCTGGTGCGGCCCCGATAACTCCAGGTTGAGTTGTGAGGTCACCGGCCTCCTCCCATTGTTAGTTATAATAAATTCTAAAGTTTCCAAAAAAAAAAACAAAAAAAAAGAGAGAAAGAACCAGATAATTCCTGAATTGCCTCAGGAAAACAAGAAAAGGGCGACACAGAGAAGATTAGCATGGCCCCTGTACACCGTTAAAATTGGAACGATACAAGGAAGACGAGCATAAATTGAGAAAGGGAAATTTTCGAGATGCCCCTGAAATTTAGATTAGTTTGCGGCATGCCCCTCTGAGGGCCAAATTACCCTGTCACACCCCTCGGACAACGAAAATGATGTTTCCAGAAAACCCCTGGTGTCGTTTGGGCCTGAAAATGTTTCATATGCCCCTACCGGTACCTCTCCCAAATTTCCAGTATGCCCATACCGGATAGCCATTGAGAACCAGCAGAAAGATTTCCAATATGCCCCTACAGGTACCGAGCATCTTTCCAGCATGCCCCTGTGGCTGTTGTTGACACTCTCCGCCTTTAACCTGGCCCTGGGAGAGGATCTTTCTGCCCTGCCCTCTCTCTCTCTCTCTCTCTCTCTCTCTCTCTCTCTC